GCACTGGAAGGGTTTCTCGCCCAGGTGCGTCCTCTGGTGGGTCAAGAGGTTGGAGGAGACGCTGAAGCACTTGCCGCACTCCTGGCACTTGTAGGGTTTCTCGCCGGTGTGCATCCGCCGGTGTTTGGTGAGGTCGGATTTTTGGATGAAGCCTTTGGAGCAATCGGGGCATTTGTAGGGTTTCTCGCCGGTGTGGATGCGCCGGTGTTTCACCAGCGCCGAGCGCTGCCCGAAGCTTTTCCCGCATTCCTGGCACTTGTACGGCTTCTCCGGCGCCGTTTCCGGTTGCCGCCCGCAATCCTGGCACAACCCCCGGCTTTTCCCGCAATCCAGGCATTTCGGCGCCGCGGCGCCGTGAGAGCGTTGATGCTTCAACAACGCCGCGCCTTGACCGAAACACCGCCCGCACTGCCCGCACTGGAAGAGCCTCCCGTGCCGGTGAGCCGCCAAAAACCCGGCCAGGTGCTCCGGACACCGGTACGAGGCGCGTTCGGCGGCGTGGATTTTCCGGTGCCGGTCCAGGTGCGAGCTGACGCTGAAACTCTTGCCGCACTCGCCGCAGGAATACGGCCGCTCGCCGGTGTGGACGCGCTGGTGCCGCTCCAGGTCGGAGCGTTGGATGAAGCCTTTGCCGCAGTCGCCGCAGGTGAACGGGCGCTCGCCGGTGTGGATGCGCCGGTGCTGCGTCAGGTTGGAGCCGCGGCTGAAGCTCTTGCCGCAGTCGCCGCAGCGGTGCGGCCGCTCGCCCGTGTGAGTCTTGCGGTGTTTCGCCAGCGCCGAGCGTTGCCCGAAGCTCTTCCCGCAATCCGGGCAGCGGTACGGCGCCGATTCCGCCGCGGCCGCCGGCGTTTTGGTTTTGGCGCGGGGCTGCTCGGGCGGGCCCGGCCCGCCGGCGTGAGTGCGGCGGTGCCGGTCCAGGTGGGAGCTGACGCTGAAGCGTTTGCCGCAGTCGCCGCACGCGTACGGCCGCTCGCCGGTGTGGACGCGCCGGTGCCGCTCCAGGTCGGAGCGTTGGATGAAGCCTTTGCCGCAGTCGCCGCAGCGGTGAGGCCGCTCGCCCGTGTGGATGCGCCGGTGCTGCGCCAGGTTGGAGCCGCGGCTGAAGGCTTTGCCGCAGTCGCCGCAGCGGTGCGGCTT